GAGAGAGAGAGGACCATCACTAAGGGAAAAATAATCCCTCTTAAACAATTTCTTTAGTTTTTAAGCAACTGCATATGGATATTATGCATGTGGTTCACAGGGCAGTGCCTTACATTCAAGACCTGGATTATGCCAACAAGAAAAGCACAAGAAATAAGAGTTTTAAACATTTCAAGAATTATTTGCATGTCGACTTTAGCATATAGCATTTGCTATGTAATAATTACTCACTATTTGTTTATCCCCATGTTTTAGATGCAGCTCAACCATAAAGAAGTTCAAGAAACTTGAATGCAATCCCGTTGGAGTGGTTAGTCCTATAATGAGACTATAATTTAGAAGCTAAATCCTCCTAATCACAGTTATGCACCCTTGCCAATACCTAGGTTTTCAGTAACCACAATTCCATACTCAGAAAGAGAGAGAAGAGGGAGAAGGGATAATAGAGAGAAGCGAGAGAGAGAGACGTAAATATGTTATACACACAAAGGTGCACACACTCACACATACACCTATATATATTCAAATGGGAAAAGTTTTAATAAGGTTGCAACGTTAAAATGTAGAATCACAGATGCACCTCAAAAATCTATCGGAAATGCTGTTTTAATGTTGAAAAAACCGTCTAATCGATCATCTCGACATTGAGATGTATGAATATGAAAAAAAAAAATTTTTGAGTTCCGGAAATAGTGCATCTTGCAACACATTATCTAGACCGTTCATTTTCAAGCTTTTGATATATTTATAGAGCTACTTGATTTTAACCATTTTTGGATTTTAAAATTTTTCTAATTAGGTATGAAAATAGATTTTAAGATTATACTAAGAATTTTTTACAACAAAATTACATGTTAAGATAAAATTTTAAGGTGCGCCTTAATTGGATTGTTCAAGGTTGCAACCTCATAGAAACCGCACCTTATTCAAATCCTCAATAAGTGGCTTAGACAGCCCAACAAGGAGCACCCTCTGGCTGAGCCATTCCAACATCCCCAACTTATGCACACCTAACTTCTTTTGATGTTGCTCACAATATCAAGCACTATTTTCACATTAAACAATCACAATGCCGGAAAAAAGGAAAATGGACATAATGATGGCTTAGGTGATACCTACCTGGCATTCTCCACATTTCTTCTCTTTGCACCACATAACTTGTTGCTCCTCTGATTTCTTTCTTCAACCAAGATGTCCTCATTTTCATGGAATGACATCATGTCACCTGCACCAAGCAGTGATGCCCATAAGGAAAGTCATATCAAAACGTAAATTTTCATCTTACTGGAGACAATTTTTGTCATGTGGTCTACATTTACTTCTGCTCACCTGATAAATGAGAAGAACCCATAGCTAGGTCAAGATGAAGATCAATACTTGACTCACATTGAGATGACTCAGCAATTTTTGTGCAACATGTATTGTCAAACTGAGGCAACAAGATTTCACATCTATCAGGACTTCCTTGAATATGACGTCCTGTATTTACAGTTTTAGATATGAAATCACTGATGTGCAATAAATCAGATGCTGAAGATAGTGACAAATCTCCTGAGGGGCTTAATGTGTTCCTTTGAATGTCGATCTCAGGATGGATTGTATTCTCCAAAGAAACTTTATGACCCGTTCCATCATTACCCAGATTCTCCTGAATCAAACGGGCCATCTCTCTTGTATCTGGGCATATTAAGCTCGAATTTAAAGCCTCCCTTGAATCAAGTTCATCAAGCAATTTCAACTCAGGCTTGACTAAAATATCAGCATTTAAATCAACAGAAGATGGTCCATTTTCCTTATCTGGTCTAGTAGTATCCGCTAAAATCTTTTCCAAGTTCTCATTGACTCCTGTCCACTGCTTCCCATCAACCATTGAAACAACAACAGCTGTCTCCCCATAATCAGCAATGGATACTGAAACCATCCTAGAGAAATCAGCCTCGGAGAGATGTATATTATCTTCTTCAAACTTTGTGTCCAAATGTTGACCAGAAACTCCTGATTGCTTTGTAGCCTCATCTGTTTTACACCTATAAGATATAACCACAGGAAATTACAAAAACTCGTGAAATAGTCAAATGCATAAAAAATAGGGGAAATGTATGGCACGATCTTCCATTGGGTTCATCTCCTCCAATGAAAAGATAACAATGATAGAGCAAGTGAGACCTGCCATTGAGGTCATGTCCGGTTTTAATGGGTCCAATTCCCTCTACATAACCAATTAACCACTCCTCATTTCATTTCATGCTGGTGACCCCAATGAACTATGAGTATATCATAGTCCCTTGGTTACTTTACCTAAAATTATTGACGAGAAAGTATGATTTAGCAATTTCAATTTCCACTTTTCGTCATTAGAACTACCTGAAGAAAGATTAATAAACTTCTGGTTACCTTGGGCACAACCATGAGGTCTCAGATGTAGTTTCTGGATCAAATCCAACACAAAAAGCATGGTACCTATCTCCACATCAGATGAAGGCAAGGTAAACAGAAAACTGATAAATAATACATAAATAGACCAAACAAATATACACATGGAAAACAAATTCAGAATTGCAAATATCATGAATATTTAGAAGATAACCACATATTAGGACAGCACAGAGTAAAATGGGAAAGGAAAAAGGCCAAAGAAAAGAAAACACCAAAACAGAGTTACAGAACTTTACAAGAAAGTAAGAATCACCAGAGGATAGGTTAATCAGCAAGATGCATTATTTTAATGAGGTGAATTTATAGTTCTCAGTCTCACACTCTCACTCTCGTTTCTGTCAATCTTACAAGTTTAATCAGCACAAAAACATCAAAAGGAACCCATTAGATGGTAACAACCAGTGGTTCAAAACACGGCAAGTCGACCCGGAATAGCCCGGGTCGACACGGGAATCGCTGGTTTGCAACACTGAATCGTCCGATTTGCAACAGTGACTCGTCCGAGTCAGCAGAAAAAAAAAAGATGAACATTGAATGCCAAAATTTTGTCACAAGATTGCTGTAGATTTGCAGCTTTTTTCTCAATTATTGATCAATTTCAGCTTTTACAGTGCATTATTGTGAGAAATTACTCATTTTTTCATTGCAAAACAACAAATAAGAAGATTGAATCACAAAATTTGGTGCGTTTTTCACGAAAAACCCTAAATCCTCCATTCTTTCAATTTCGTCACAAATATTCACTATTTTTTGTTCGAATCATAGGGGTTTTCAAGGAAATTGATTTCTACAGATGATTATAGTGATTGTTTTTGTGCTTCAGCAAATATTGGAGGTCGATTTTTGAAGAAATCAGAGCTTTCGTAAAGAACAATTAACGGAAACAGAAAATCCACCATTCTTTCAATTTCGTCACAAGTAGTCACTGTTTTTTGTTCGAATCAGAGGGGTTTTCAAGAAAATTGATTTCTACAGATGATTATAGTGATTGTTTTTGTGATTCAATAAATATTGGAGGTCAATTTTTTAAGAAATCAGAGGTTTCGTGAAGAACAGTTGACGGAAAAAGAAAATCCGCCAATCTTGAGATCCCAATCGATATGGGCTGAATTGTTCCTAGAAAACAGAGGTTTTTGTTGAAAATCTTGATCTTCATATGCTATTGTAGCCTCTTTGCTTGATTTGCTAAATTTTGTAAGAAATCAAAGGGATTTTGTGAGGAACAGTTGACGAAAAAAGATAATCCACCAATCTTCAGAAAACAAAGGTGTTTTGCTCGTAATCCTAATCTTCATAAGCTATTGCAGAATTTTTGTGAGATTAAGCAACATTAGTTGCTCGAATTTGCAAGAAATCGAAGCTTGCTCCAATTTTTAGGTATGCATAAGTATTTTTTAATTTTATTGTCAATTTTATTGATGCACTAAAATCATTTTGATTGGTACATAATTAAGTACGTCATCAATGTATAATTATCATACATTCTGAATGAGGGGAAAATTAAAAACTTGTATTTTTAAAATTTTGATTGATACAAAATTAAAAACTTGTATTTTTTAATTTTATCATCAAGATGTAGTGGTATTATGAATGACTATATCATTGTAAATAAATTTTTTTTATTGATACTATATCATTGTAATTTTTTTTTTCTTGATTCTAGGTTTGGCTGATACATACTATTTTTATGTTGCATAAATCAAATAGCTTCGAATTTTTAGGTATGCATATGTATTTTTTAATTTTATTGTCAATTTTATTAGTGCACTAAAATGTATGTTCTTGAATCTAGATATATAATTCAATTTTGATTGATACATAATTAAGTATGGCATGAATGCATAATTATCATGCAATAAAAACTTGTATTTTTTAATTTTATTGTCAAAAATAAGACATGTGGCGAGTCTACATGTAGTGGCATTATGAATGAAAATATCATTGTAACTAATGTTTTTTATTGATACTATATCATTGTAATTTTTTTTTTCTTGATTCTAGGTTTGGCTGATATAGACTATTTTTATCTATAATGTTGCATAAATAAAATATTTTTGCCAAGTAGGAACTAACATATTTTTGTCAGTAGAAGTATTTTGCATGAACAACAATGATAACTTCATGAACTACCCCTTACACATTATTACTACACATGGTGATTAAATTTCATGTTGAATTGTCAGGTTCATTTTCAACCATTTACATCTTAAAAGAGTTGAACCATGGCAAATTCCAGGGAAGACCCTGCATGGCAATATGGGGTCAGACTTGATCCTAACAAAAAAGATAAAATTATTTGTAATTACTGCCAAAAAGTGATTAGTAGTGGGGTATTTAGATTTAAGCAACACTTGGCAAGGTTTAAGGGAGATGTTGTTGCGTGCAATAGTGTCCCTAGCAATACAAGAAAGCAGATGGCGGCCATTCTCAAGGCTAGCAAGGGTAAAAAAGTCGCAAAGCAGAAGATGAATGAGGAGATAGCTGGCTTATATACGCTATCAAGCGGGATGGATCCAGAAGAGCAATATAATCATGACTTGGAGATGGCCACAAGAATGAGCTTGCACGAAACATACCAGAGGGAAAGCGGGTTTGGAATGCCCGGTGGTTACGGCATGGGCATGCATGGTGGGCTCAGCCCAAGCATGAATGGTGGGACCCGTTCGAGTATGCATGGCGGGCCCAGCTCAAGCATGTATGGCAGGCCCAGCTCAAATACGTATGGGGTGTTGGTGGCAATATGCATCCAGAGGCACCGGATGTCGAGGACATTGTTCCTGGCTTATCTAAGAGTACCAGTATTGCAAGTCATGATCTCATAGACCAATTTCTCTCAAAGCCTAAGTCACAACAAATGACACTCAAAGGCATGGTGAAGGTACAAGGAACATGTTGGGCAGATATGTTGGTCAATAGTTATAAGATAAAGGGATCCCTTTTGATGCAGCCAATAGCCTATATTTCCCGCCTATGGTCAACGTAATCCAGAGAGCCGGGCCCGAGGTAAAGCCCCCGATTGCATATGAGCTAAGTGGGCGGATCTTAGATGAAGAGGTGGAGGAAGTTAAGTAGTGGATTGAAGAATATAAACTGGGTTGGCCAAGAACACGTATTACTCTCATGAGTGATGGTTGGTTGAATAAAGTTAGCAAGAAGGAATATCTTAACTTATTGGTCTATTGCCCAAAAGGTACAACCTTCTTGTCTAGCAAAAGCGTCTCAAGGAAAAAAAATGATGCAAAATTCTTAGTACGACTATATGACTAGATACTAGAGGAGGCGGGAGATAAGCATGTGGTCCAGTTTATTACGGACAATGCAACTGCTTGTGTTTCTGCGGCTAGCAAGTTGATGGATAAGAGAAAGCATCTAGTATGGACCCTGTGTGCTGCACACAGCATTAATCTTATGCTAGACGTGATCGACACGATAAAAATTGTGAAGGAGACTCTAGAGGCAGCGAGGTTCGTGTCAAGATTTATATATAACCACTATAAAATCTTATTTTTGTTAAGAGAACAATATGAGAAAAAATAGATAATCAGGTCTACCACCCGATTTATGACAGATTACTTGGTTGTGGACTCCATTCAGGAATCTCAAGCTGCATTGAAGAGATTGTTTACCAGCGAAGAGGGGCATAACGACCGCCTCTCGAAGTCCAATAATGGGCTAAAAGTGGAGGGCATAGTCACAAATAGGAGGTTATGGTCTCGGTGTTTCAAGGTCATAGAGACCACTGCTCCTTTGGTCACGGTGTTAAGAATGGTGGATTCTGACAAGAAGCCTACCATGGCCATCGTTTACGAAGGTATCGAGAGGGCAAATCTGCTATTGAGGAGAAGTGTAGTTTTGCAAGTAAAGCGATCGAGATTATAGAAAGAAGGTGGAACACCAACTTTGGCTGTCCAATTCATTATGCAAGTACATATACATTTATATCCTTGTAATGTTTAATTCTAAAATATTTTTTTAATGAAAGTTTAAATGACCTTTCTCTATCTATGTATTTTCTAAGTTACTACTTCAACCCAAAATTTTTCTATTTGACACCTGAGCATCTCCACAAGATTATGGAAGGAGTCAAATACATTATTGTTAGGCTGGAGAGAAGAAATTGAACCAGATAACAGCAATATGAAACCAGATAACAGCAATACAGGAGGTAATATTTAATATTTGGGTCAGACTTTCATTGAGTTGTTATATTTGTAAGGAATAACTAATGCACTAAAACGAAATATTTTGTTTTAGATTTCTATGTATAGGGATGCTGTAGGATCCTTCGGAACTAAACTTGCCAAGAATTCTCGAACTAAGATGGATCCAGGTGAACCCCTAACTAATATTTTGTTCTTTCATATATTTAATCTTATGAATTGTTCTTACAACGCTTTTGCATTGTAATCCAGTTGAATGGTGGGAGATATATGGTAGTGATGCACTGGGAGATATATGGTAGTGATGCAGCTCACCTAATGAGGATAGCAATCAAAGTGCTCTCCCAGACATATTCTGCTACTAGGTGTAAGCGAAACTGGAGTATGTTCCAATGGTTGCACACTGCTAGGAGAAATCGACTCGCTTCGAAGAGGCTTCATAAGCTAGTCTACGTTCATTACAACTTAAAACTCCGAGAGCGACAAATAAGAAGGAAGCTTGAAGAATACGGGTTGATAAACTTTGACACAATCTTTGTCACAGACACAGCAAAATAATAAGTAGTAGAAGAAGAGGAACCAATGTTACACAAAAGAGCGTTCCTTGAGGCTATCGGTGAGGAAGATCATGATGAAGGTGATGAGCATCATGAAAGAGGAAGCAAACCAATATATCCACAATTCGCAGGAGATGTCAGTGGTATTGCATCTAATGAGAGAGAGTGGGAAGGGGGTATAAAAGAAAATGAGAGAGATGATGACCAAATTATTCCCAACAACAAGAGGGTAGGGACGAGCACGACAGTGTAGGTGAGCATGAAGGATGGACAAGCTTCGGGGATTTTGGAGCGCAACAAAACATTAACACTCAAGGATTTGGGTATAGTCAGGTGCCCACTAATTTGGATGATTCGTTTCTAGATCAAGTCAATGAATTGTCATGCGAATTCAATCAATGGCACCAGCGTAACCAAGATGAAGAACGACGTTGTCTTTCATTTTATTATTAAGTCGTATTTTACAAATTGTATGCTTTATTGTAGTCCATGTACGATGATATACTTCATTCATGATAATTTTTTACTTCTCCTTTTGCGTGATGTAAATTTCATGATTAACAGTAGTTCATGCATAGAATATCTCAATATTCGCATATTGATGCAAAAAAATTAAAGTTCTTAATGGAGTAACCCCATTTCTTACTGGATTCTTAGAAAACAACATTTATAATGAATTTTAATAATTTTTTTCGATTTTTTTTAAGGTTGAATCTGACCGATTCGGTCGATTCCCGATCTGGATCGCCAATTCATAGATCCAGATGGGTTTTTGGGGTGCCCGATCAAGGGCACCGATCCGTTTTAAACCACTGGTATCAACAAAGCAAGTTTTTTAAGGCCTTTAAGTTTGCTATGTGTTGTTCCACTCTAGTAACACCAACAATAAGAAAAGTATCAGTCCAACTTAGCTTGGATGTTACCCATCAAAAGTTTGGTTCCGGAACAGAGTCCTCAACCAGAAGTTTCAAAGAAAAGTTAAATCATACAAGTGACCAATGAGATGATTCTGGTAGGTATCCTGATCAGTTGTTATTCCTAGGCATGTACCACTGGAAATTTGGTTTCCAATTGAAGGGAAAAAAAAAAGATCAAATTCATAACTAACTTCACACCACTGCGTCTCCCACTCCCACAAATGGTGATTCACTGATCAATATTCAAAACCTCCTAACCTTTTTTTTATGGCTAACAGTGTTTATCTTTTCATTACTTTTGCAACTGCCTAGCTTCCATTATGCTTCCTTTTCAAGTCCCACCAAAAATCTGGCCTTTGGAGTAGCGGTCTATTTTCTTTTCTTTCCCGATATTGGAGTAGCTATAGGTAAAAGAATAATTTTTTTGTTAACAATAACTCAAAACGAACGTGATATGATGCAGATAGAATTTATTATTGCAACAATTTACATTCAAGTTCGTGTTCATAAAGAGGTCAGGATGATAGAAATCAAAGTTTGCTTAGTCATGAGAAAGCATGTCTATATAGAGGATAACAAAGAATACCAAACAATGATACACTGATCTGCGCACTTGCCAATGCATGCAATAGATCTTAACTAGAGGGAAAATTACAAAAAAGTGCATTTTTTCTATGTATATTTTATGTTGAAGTCCCATTTTTTCTCATTTTTTAACATTTTTCCAAAACTACCCCCATTTGGAACTTCAAGTTCCGAGCCGAAACATTGTCTTTATATTTTTTTTTCGTGAGAATGCAATCTAGAATTTCCAGTTTCAGACCAATTTACGAGCAGTCTATTTTCTTTTCTTTCCCGATATTGGAGTAGCTATAGATGAAGGAATAATTTTTTTGTAATAACATAATTACCTTGAGAACAATAACTCAAAACGAACGTGATATGATTCAGATAGAATTTATTATTGCGATAATTTACATTCAGGCTCGTGTTCATAAAGAGGTAAGGATGATTAAAATCAAAGTTTGCTTAATCATGAGAGCGCATGTCTATATAGAGGATAAAAAAGAATATCAGACAATGATACACTGATTACCCCAAGAATGCGATGAGATCTGTGTACTTGCCAATGCACGCAATAGATCTTAACTAGAGGAAAATTACAAAAAAGTGCATGTGCAAGTTGGATATTTTAAACAAATCCCTTCTATGTATATTTTATGTTGAAGTCCCACTTTTTCTCGGTTTTTTAACATTTTTTCCCAAACTACCCCCCATTTGGAACTTCAAGTTCCGAGCCAAAACATTGTCTTTATATTTTTTTTACGTGAGAATGCAGTCCAGAATTTCAAGTTTCAAACCTATTTTTTAGTGAAACCTGAGTTCAGAACCTGCACTTCTGGAACCAGATTTCACTTAAATGAATCATGTGCTGGGTCAGGCGATTGAAATTCCGAACACAACATTCACACTTGCATTTGTTTTTGATGATGTGGCAGGGTACAATGGGGTACAAAACCCTAAGTTCCATACCCATCACTATTATATTTTTTTTTTTTGGTGAAATGGTGGGTTCGGAACTTCATTTTCCGAACCCATCACACCTTTTTTTTGATGAAAATGAAGGGTCCAGAACTTATTCCAAACCCACAAAAATGGGTACGTAACTTGAACTTCCATTTTGCTTTTTTAAGTTTAAAAATATATATAAATGCATTTCGGTCCTGAACTTGAAGTCCCAAACCGGGGAGGTAGTTTGGGAAAAAAAAAAAAAAGAGAAAACAGTGGGACTTCAAAGTGAAATATAAAATTAGGGGGGGTGGGGGGACCAAGAAATCAAATTTACCAGATATCACATGAATCACAAGCAATTGAAGTTTCAAGAGTTGATGCTTCCTCAGTACTCGCCAGCCCACTTCGTATCTTGCATCCATCACCGTCCAAGCAGATAACTGCCTACAGGACATTTCTAAGTATATCAAAAACTAATAGCTTTTCTTTTGAAGAAAATATACCAAAATCTAACTACTCACAGCACATTATTTAGAAAGACCAGACAAGGACAAACGAGTGTTACATCTTCATCAATATAATACGAGGGAAAAGAAAGCGTGTTGCTTTTCCCCTGAATACACCAGTCATTATCTCTGCAAAAGACACAATGTAACTAGCTCAATATTCTTTGAGAATTATTAGAGGAAATGATAACATACCCAAGATTGCGCTTTTGTGCGGAACCAAAAAGAAAAGCACTAAGCTCTCTCAGAATTCAACATCATAAATGGTACAGTATAGCAGAAGTTATTTAATATAATAACAAAGGACCAGATAAAATAAGCAACAGTATTTCCACAAGACGGCAAACCAACTATAACTCAATTTTTAAGAAGAGATTGCTAGATTGAGACCTTCAGTTTCCAACTCAATACTACGTATTCAATAAAAAGAAGTATTATAAACTATGATCATATTTAAATGCCATGCAATCCCCTGCAAATTCCAAGCTTCACATAGCTTCCTAAAGCTTATTCTTAATAAATTATCATCATAGATTATACTAAAATTTTAAGTGAAAAAGTTTCACTTGATTTGACAGGAATAAAGCAACACCAAGAAACTCCTTGTTTTTTTTGTATTGCTGATATGTAATGGAGGTCATGAGTCATGTTTCTCTTTAAAGATGAAAGCTCTCATAGAAGACCTAAGGCCTCACATATGACAGACATGGTACAGTATAATTTTCTCCAAATACCCCACACGTGATAACCAAAGGGCTCAAAAACCTCACCTGAATAGTTACAGCCTAACAAAAGATCAAGATGAAACAAGCACTAATACATGTGAGCATCAAGCAATCACGCATGCTCCACATTCAGCCAGGCCAAGTTGAACTTTAAAACAATACAGCTTTAAGCATCATGGATGATGGGAATCATAGAGCCATATCCAATTCCAAACGATGGATTATGCAAGAAATATCCTGATCCAACTTTCAAACATGACCTCCAAACAGACAAACACACATATTATATATATATATATATATATAGAGAGAGAGAGAGAGAGGAGAGAGAAGACATGTCAGCCTATGGGCTAATGGAATAGAGTAAGTCCAATCTGGGCCGATCTGACAGTCACGACTGTATTTTATATTTAAATTTTAATGTTTTTTATACAAATTCAAATCACATGAAATTTGGGGCGTCCAATCTTCTCATCAACGCGCACCTAAAAAAAATTAAAAACAACAAACAAATTGACCAAAATACCCCTGAAAGTTTTAGGGGTATTTTGGTCCATTCAATTATTATGAATTATTTTTTTGATATTTTAATTAGGCTCACCTATTTTTTAAGAATAGACGTTCCAAATTTCAAGTGATTTGGATTTGTAGAACAAATATTAAAGTTCAAATACGAAATGCAATAATGATCGTCAGATCGGCCCAAATTCAATTTGGGTCATTGAGAGTTTACTGTAGCTGTCAGCTAGTGGGCTGACCTCAAACTCTCCCTATATATATATATATATATATATATGTTAAGATACTAAGATAAAACTCAAGGCCTGCCTCTAAAGTTGATACTGGAGCTTCAACAAAACAGATACAAGTGGAATTTTGCTCACACAGTAGTCAACTCTCTCTCTAACTACTTAGGTAACAAATATAATATGTGGATGTTATGATATTAAGATATAACTCAATGCCTCCATCTAAAGTTGATACTGAAGCTTCAACAGAACAGATACACGTGGAATTTTGCTCACAAAGTAGTCAACTCTCTCTCTAACTACTTAGGTAACAAATATAATATGTGGATGTTATGATATTAAGATATAACTCAATGCCTCCCTCTAAAGTTGATACTGAAGCTTCAACAGAACAGATACATGTGGAATTTTGCTCACAAAGTAGTCAACTCTCTCTCTAACTACTTAGGTAACAAATATCATATGTGGAAGAGAAATAACTTCATCATGACATGAGACACAAGATTCAATATAACCACTACAATAATTAATCTCTATGAAGAGATGCCTGGGTGAAATCTGGTGAAATCTGAAATTAAACATCTGACACAACAGAATATTAGGGCAACCTATCTCATGAGAAGCTGCAGATATAACTCTATAATCCTACTACACTTCTACAATGGATTTAGAAACCACTCATGCACAGCACACCAAGAAATAAGTGATGTTCCCAGTAACAGACAATATCCTAATACGGATCTTCAATATTTGGGCAATATGATCATCGTCATCTAGGCCCTATCCCAACTATTTAATATCTGAGCAATATGCATGATCTAAGCAAGACATTCATGTTGCTTGGACACAAGTACATGTATTAATGTCACTCAAGGGTATGGTATGTCAGATTCCTCATGCCATGAAGAAGAGGATTCAGCGACGCAGCTATATTATAAAGAGAACCAAATCCAACAAAGTTTTACCATATTCTAGTTCATGTTGAGTAGCAAGAGAATAAACAATTATAACTTAATTGACTGAATGCATGGATATTTCAAACATGAAAGTTCCACATATTTTCCAAAAGTACATGTGCCTGCCCAAAAAAAAAAGGGAAAAGAATCAAGTCTCTAAAAAGATGTAATCGATGATTGATAAACAAGAAAAGAATACATAAGAATATGTGTCAGTCTGTGTGCCAATGTGTATCTAACACGAGTACAGCAACAAAACAGAAGAATCCATGTGATATATCAATCAATTGACAACTTAATAAGACTGAGGAATAGCCCACGTAAAAGAGTGCACCCAACATATCTGAAGATGGGATGAACTACACTAAAATGCAATGTCGCGGGAGACTTGACAAGCTAACTCACTAAAGTCCAACCTGAATGTGAGAATCACAGTCTACTAAACACCAGATATGGTAAAACAAAAACCACGAATAAGAGTGAGATTAGCTAGGAGAGATCCATCGTATTCTGAAAGTTTAAACCGAACTCATCTAGAATATTAACATACAATCAGCTAGACGCGCCCTCAGGAAAGATCTTGAACATAAGAGCAACTCTTTGAATACAATGAGATGGATTCACGGGGAATGCCTCTTCTGTGTGTATAGCCTATCGCTTTTGGAGAAGCGGTCAAGTTTCATAGGTCCACGTACGTTTCCTTTCCATGTCTTTTGCAATGCTAATGTATCCACAGATGCTTTAGATAAGGAGAGCACCTTTTCATAAGATAGTTTTGCCATCACCTGGAACACATCCATTGAGATGTCTAGCTGGCATCACTTTGTGGTTGTTTTTCCTTTATCATTTCTTCAAACTATGGGTTCACAAATAATTATACCTTTCTTTTACGACTACAAATGAGCTACATCATTATCAATAAAAGAAAAGGGAAAAAAGCATATTCCAGGAATAATGGCCAAGCAGGCATATCAACATACATTTAGGAATACCCTGATCATGGGAAAACCTCCCATAGCAATGAATCAAGATTTTAAACGGCCACAAGCTTCAGTAAGACTGAGTTCAAGTTACTTGTTTAGTCTTCCATGTGCGCAAATGATGTGCCATACATAGACAACATATCATCGTTAATGGGACATCATTTACCATCACATATACAGATATCCTACACAGCATGAGAAGTTGATGACACAGATCCAATGAGTAAATCTACTATTTACAGGTTAAAAAGGATGGCAAAATGATGAAATATTAGAAATTCTGAAATAAGCAAATACATTAGACAAGCTAGAGGTTTGAGGGAAGCCAAAGGTAAATTGGCGTAGCACAACCTTCCACAAATTGCAAGAAAATAAAATCCTGAAAATCAATTTCTTGATATTTTCAGAAAAGAAACAAGTTACCATGAAAATTTAAAGAAGAAAGTCTGGTAAGGCATGCATCAGTCCAGTAATTAAAACAAGAGCATAGAGAGTACTGCATAAATGGTGCCAGAAGATCATACTTGGATACCAAAGAATTCTCCTCGTGTGTGATGCTCCCGATGGTATCATATACCTTCAAATCAACATAAAGTAATGAGTATTTATTCCCCCGGAAAAAAAAAAAAGCATAAAAGTAATGAGTACGATGTTCAAATTTAGCAAAATATATTCAATGGCTAAGATGTTAAGATAAATATTACAAGTCATTAAGTATATCTCGTATGTACTGTACCATGGGGGATATGACATTCAAATAGTACAAAAAGATTAGAAATTTTCCCATAGGATTAGTTCAATCATGTGAAACATGAGACTTCATATTCTCTCATCATCTATGAGATTAATTGGTTAAGCACATTCACTATTGCAAACGATCGATTCAACCACCTAAACATGCACCCATATACTTGGGCTGGCCCTAAATTTTCTTTCAATTTTTATTTTTATTTTATTATGGGGGGGGGGGGGAGGGGGGAGAGGAGATTGTTACATGTAAGGAGAGAGACAGAGAGAGTATAGGGGTCCATTTGTGTGTCTGAGGCCTCAAATCAAACACTTGGAGATCATCTTCTTCCTTTTCTTCTTGTTATATGTAGAGAGAGAGAGCGTATGAGTCCACGAGAGAGAGAGGGCTCGCATCGAATCACTTGGAAGTCATCTTTTTTATCTTCTTCTCATATGTAGAGAGAGAGCATATGGGTATGTGTGTGTGAGGGTGAGAGAGAGACCCGCATTAACACTAAGGTCATCATCCTATTTTTCTTCTTTCTTTAGTGATGGCTTTGATTTTCTTTTCGTTTGAAATTGGTTGGGCACGCAGCGAGCGCCCCCATTTGCCATTTCCCAAATTTGTTTGATCACTTTATATGTAGAGAGAATGCATATGGGTCGTGAGAAAGATGGGCCTTGCATCAAACATTTGAAGGTTTTCTTTTTTTCTTCTTATATGTAGAGAGAGAGCATAGGAGTCAATTTGCGTGTGAGAGAGAGAGAGGCCTCACATCAAACACATGGAGGGTGTCTTCTTCTTTTAGTATATGTAGAGAGAGAAAGAGAGAGAATACGAATCCGAGAGAGAGAAGGGGGGCTCACATCAAACACTTGCAGATCATCTTCTTTTTCTACTTCGATGGAGAAAAAGAGAGCATATGGTTCTTGTGTTTGCCTAAGAGAGAGGCCTCACATCTAACACTTGGAAGTAATCTTTTTCTTTTTCTTCTTATATATAACAAGAGAGAGAGCATATGGTTTTGTGAGAGAAGAAGAGAGGAGCCTCGAATTAAGCACTACAAAGTTGTCTTCTTCTTTTTCTTCTTATATGTAAAGAGAGAGAGGGAGAGAAAGCATATGAGTCTGTGTGAGAGAGAGAGAGAGAGAGGCGCCTCGCATTGAACATTTTGAGCCCTTGGCCGAGGGCCTTTTTCTGGCCCAAGGACTCCATTAGGCAACCTGAGAGGTCCTCCTAGGTGGGCACACTAGTACAAATCCGAAAAAGGTGCCCCCTAGGGCCCCATTCAATTCAAATAGTCCCTACCTAGCATAGGTGGCCAGGCCACCGAATTGTCATTCACTACACACATTTATTCACATTGTTTTGTTTTTTTGATAATGTTAGCATTTTATAGAAGGATAAGAGAAATACAAAGAGGACTCAGAAGGCCAAAGTACAAAATGTCACCGAGGAAGGAGACCAAAAACACCCCAAAATGAGATTGATTCACATTGTTTCCATTATTTTTACGAACATATTTGAACTAGAGAAGGATAATCAGTGAGACCGGTCCAAAATATGAAATGGGTATACAGGCTTTTATAAGGGCATGAATAAGATATAGAGGTGGTTTAAGCAAGTAGGATGGATCATTGTTACGCAGAGTAGACCTAGGGGGTAGAGCTCCCTCCCTAGAATCTCACTCTAGCAGTCTTGGAAGCGAGAGGTCAAGCGGACCTCAATCCCCCACCATAAGGAATCGTAATCCCCATCTAGCGATCCTACTCGAGGGGGGAGACGAGCCCATTGGAAAACAAAGTCAATTAAAAAAAAATTGACTTAAAATTTGACTCTTGAACCCATTGTCTTTGATTCCATGCTATTTGTTCTGCATCCTGCAGTTTTTTCGCTAACAAGCACATGACATTCACCATTTCCATGGTCATGGTTTGTATTGTTTCAAACTTTGTTCTCAGCCGAATGGATTTTAGGTTTGAAGGGCAGGGGTGGGTTTGGGTAGGGGAATCAAGAACCAGCTCCTCATCTATACGCATTCCCCTATGAATGGACGTCAATTACCATTTATGCATATATAACCATGGAAATTGCTTTCTAGTTATTTGTAATCTCTATGTAAGCTAAAGATAGGGGTGCATGATTACAGTAGCATGCTTTAAGCATTTGTAAGTTACTTGTAATTTGCTTCAGACTTAATTGTAATTGGCTTGAAAATCTTGTTTTTACTGTTCATGAGAGATTTGCATGAGTCGGATGTATTTTTTGTTGCGGTGCTAGTTGAAGAAAAGCCCAGTAGTTTGATTCCTCATAAGTTATAGCCATTGATGAAGGAATTCAATGATGTCAAACCAGCTGATCTTCCCAAGGGATTACCTCCCATGCAAGACATCCAAGATCACATCAACCTCATCCCTGGTTCTAGCCTCCCAAATAAAGTGGCCTATAGAATGCGCCAAGGAGCATGAGGAGTTACATAAGCAAGTTTCAAAGTTGCTGCAGAAGGATTTAATTACGAGAGAATAAGCCCATGTGCAGTGGCAGCATTGTTAAGGCTCAAGAAAGATGGTTCCCAGTGCATGTGTGTGGACAGCAAGGCGATTAATAAAATTATCATAAATACTGCTGTCCAATACTGCGCTTGTAAGATATGTTGGGCATGTTGGTTGGGGTTATGATTTTCTCTAAATAGACTCGAAAAGTGATTACCATCAATCAAAATCAGGTCAGGTGATGAATGGAAGACAGCGTTCAAGATGCGAAAGGGATTGTATGAGTGGCTCGTTATACCGTCCGGATTATCAAATGCACCTAGCACCTTTATTATGCTCATGAGCCACGTCTTTAAGTTGTATATAGAAAAGTTTGTGGTGGTATACTTTGATGACATCCTCATTTACTAGTGAAGGGCGATGGTATACTTTGATGACATCCTCATTTACAACATTAGTGAAGGGCGATGGTATACTTTGATGACATCCTCATTTACAACATTAGTGAAGGGCGATGGTATACTTTGATGACATCCTCATTTACAACACTAGTGAAGAGCAGCATATGGACTATTTAAGGCTTGTGTTGGAGCTGTTATGAGGGGAGTAGCTGTATGCAATTTGAATTCATAACCAGCAATTTGATTTTCTTGGGTTTCGTGGTTTCCACTGAGGGAATCAAGCTGGATGAGAGAAAGGTGTCAGCAATAAGAGAATGGCCACCCCTACATCACTCCATGACGTGTGCAGTTTCTATGGGCTGGCCACTTTTTATCAAGAGTTGATTAGATGATGAGATGATTCAACACGATCATATCACTACTCACTAACTGTTCAAATGGCCACTAAAGTAGAGAATAGCTTTAAGAGTATTAAGCAGGCTATGACGGAGGCACCCGTGTTAGCATTGCCAGATTTTGATAAGATGCTTAAGCTAGAGTGTGATGCCTCACATGTTGGTATTGGGGCTGCTTTGAGCCAGGAGGGCAAACCAATGGCATATTGCAACGTGAAACTGAATGATACGAGCCCGGGGTACTCCACAAATGATGTGGAATTTTATGCGATCATTCAAGGTTTACAACACTGACATCAGTATCTTATTCAGTGGGAGTTTCTTTTAGTTTCAGACCATGAGACGCTGAAGCATATTAATGGCAGCATAAACTGAAAAGCCAGCATGCTGACAGTTAACAGTTTCAAAAACAAAATAGCCAGCATGCTTCGTGGGTGACATATTTATGGAGTTTGCCTCGTGATTCGTCACAAGGCTAGGAGTCAAAACAAAGTCGCAGATGCCTTGATCCTGAGAGTGTCACTTTTGACCACTATGCGGCTATGGTGACAGGATTTGAGTGTCTGCATGATTTGTATGCTGATGATGATGATTTTGGAGACATTTGGGTGCAGTGCCAAGGTAGAGTTGAAGGAGATTGTGGTATAGGATGGGTTTCTCTTCAAGGGAATCAATTATGCATTCATGTTGGTTCTCTTAGAAAGGTCCTTATTTCAGAGATACATCGGTTTTTTCTTTTTGGGTTGGGGGGAAGCTTGAGGCAAGACAAAACCATTGCATTGGTGGAGTTTTAGTATTATTAGCCCAAACTTAGGGGAGATTTGGCTAGCCATATGGAGAGGTGCAGAGTGTGCCAAGTTACGAAGAGGCACATCGGAATGCAGGTGTATATTTTGCCCTTACCATTCCCACTGCACCATGGGAAGATGTTAGCATAAACTTCGTGTTGGGTCTTCCACGGACTCAACAAATAATGGAATCTATATTTGTTGTGGTTAACATGATTTCAAAGATGGCCCACTTCATTGCTTGCAAGAAGACTCTAGATGCAACTCATGTGGTCCGTGAGGTGGTGAGACTTCACGGGATTCCCAAAACAACTACATCAGATAGGGATACCAAGTTTCTCAACAAGGGGAAGGCCGACTTTTTGAAGGAGTTTATTTTTAGCTTGTTGTTGTTTTCATAGTCTCTAAGTGATTTCCAATTTTTTAATTGAAGTTAGGGGTAGTTTAGAGACCTTATATGTTTTGATTTAAGTAAGGGGACTTATGGGATATTTTTATAATATGTTAACTTACGTGGGGGGAGTTTTGGTCCTTTTTTCATTACAATTTAATAAAAGAGCCTAGGTTGTTAGGATTTCTGATACTTTTGGGGCTTTAAATAGTAAAAACAGGGTGTGAACGGTGAAACCAAGCCCTATCTAGGGTTTGGGAGCCCCTTCTTTGTGCGAGGAAAGCCAGGTCAGCTCAAATCTGGCCTATTTTGATAGTTTTTCGATTCCGTTTTGCCTGTTTTCTCTATTTCTATGCATCAATTGGTATTAGAAATACCCC